TTAAGTCTGTTAATGACTAGCCCCAGGGCATCAAAATCTGCAGCAGTCAGTCTGGGTTCTTAGGCTCCGTCACACCATGCGGTTCAGATTGGACCTTCCGCATTATTTTTTGTTACAGGAGGAGAGAAAAGATCCAACAAACAGGATTCCGAAAGAATGTGCGCTCGAATGAGACCCAGAGAACAAGATCAAATGATAAAAAGGCAGTGCGGAACGACCTGAGTGCGCACAATAACTGTGAGAATTCATCATAATTAAACTGACTGGTGGCAATTCAACGATTCGAGCGCAGCTCAGCTCAGAGGCTGGAATTGACTTTGGACTGGAATATATACAATACGATATGAATGGTGAATAGTCGCACTTTCTTAAATCCCGTCACTCGTGCAAATCTCTCTGTCTTGCTTGCGGCTTTTCTGCACTAAAGAGCACTGCATTACCTCTGTAGCATGTAACATGCATACATTCTTCTTCAGCGAATGAGTCTGGAGGGAAGGTAACAATAATGTGGACATCAAACACGGCAACTACGACTTTGAACGAAGCGCAACTCATGTCTCATGTACAGACTTTTGCAATTTGTGTGACTAGTGCCAAGACTAAAGTTGTCACATCTTCCTCCGGCAAATTAGAGGATTCTAGTTGGACACCCCATTTTCTTGTGAGGGAGTTACAGGCATGAGTTGTAAGTCATTCAATTTGACAGAGTTTTTACATTTCTTTCCCGTCTTTAATGCGCAGAAGTGAGCAATAAGAACGCTGTTTAGTGTAAATATGAGGTATGTAAATCGTATTTTCCGTTCATCCTTGTATTCTACGTAGAGAAATAGACCTGAAGTAAGTCTGGATAACAAGACTTTTGGCTAGATCAACCCCGACCGTATGCACATCCGACCGTGAAGAGCTCACCCACCGATCGCGCACACTCTAGAAGCCGTCGGATGGCATACGGTAGGGGTCATAGGGTCATAGCGATCATATTCCTGGAAATGAATCGAATGAATGGACAAATAATTGGGAAGGAAGGAAGAGAAAATATTTTTCTCATCGTGAGCCTGGCAACAACGAGTGCGCACCACCGATCTATCAAATGAGCTCTCTACGCTACTTCCAGTTCCATCCAGACTCAGCTACCATCCTCTTGTTAATAGTATCGCATGATAGTAACATCAGTTTATTGTAACTTGGAGGCGGGTCAGGTATGTGGAGTCCGATGGAGTAAGATTACGGAACTAGGCTGCTTTGAAAAAGGAAAAGTGGTTATCTCCAGCTTTGTAGCACCTGCTGCCGCCCTCTCAGAGCCAGAGGAAGTTCATTGACGACCGGTAAGGAAGGGAAGAGTAAATGTTTAGAAATATTGGTTTATACAGTGAAAGATGCATCGATCACAAATCAGGTCTTAATCAGTTTTTTAAGTGGAAGTCCTAATAAGATTGCTCTAACTCGCAGTTTCTGTTGTCTACTCCGTAGTCAATGGGGTGCATATGTCCTTAACAAATGCATCATATAGACCATGAACTGTGCTTAAGGTCATGTACTTACTAGTACATGACCTTAAGCATGATGCTACAATGCCTTCAGTACTTTTACAGTTAATGAGATCAGGTTAGAACTATCTGGAACCACTTTTTTGAAGTTAAACCGTGGATAATGGGTATGCGGTGTAACATCAGATAGTGTAGAATTTTTGTAAATGAAAGAGTTGCTGTTGAGTCTTCTCGGAGCAATATCTCTTACGAATGTTTTCTAGGTGCTATTTTAATGATTTGATACAACTCATACCAAAATCATTCATTTCTGCCCAAATGTTTACAACGTATACTTTGAATAACAACCAGCATATGCACACATTATTGCTTCCAAATCTCTAGAATCATCGAGATTTTAATATTTCGTGCATGACAAAGTAACATCAAAGTTTTCACACGCATAATCTATTTAAATAAATAAATTTTCAAATTTTACATATCTCAAAATAATCATAACCAAATTTTCAGACTGGAATTTTAATTTTTAATAAATTGTTAAGATATAAATAATAATTTAGTGAAGATTTTAACTTTTAATAATTATTAATTATTTATAAAATCATGTAATTTCTTTTAGAAAAATTCTTATGATTTTCATTCATGAATCAATCTCAAACTATTAGAAATGTTAGTGTCAACGCTTTGTTAAATAAAATATATTTATAAATTGAAAAAATATATATGAAGATTTCTTTTTGTTTTTTTACATTGAAATTAAATTATAAAACTTAATAATCACAATAATTTATTTTTTCCAAGTCTAATTGGACTAAAGATCTCAAATTGAGATAAATAAGATATAATGTAAATAAATAATTGAGTTCAATTTTTTAATGTATATATCTGATCAATTATTAAAGATATATATTTAATTTTCATATCCAAATTTTTGCAACAGTTAATAGCAATAGAAAAACTAAGATAAATCATCGAAAGTCAAATCATGAATAATGAATTTATTATCCACTATTAATTGAAAACTATATATTTTTCCAAATACACCCATAGCTGTTGTGTATTTCTTTCCCAATTGTACTCTAATTAGTTAAAAAAGTAGTTATATCATTGTAAATATAGTTACAATCTAAATTTTCAAATTTCACAGTATATATTTTTATGAATTTTTCAAATATGTTATTAAGTATGTTTTATTATACAAAAAATAAACTGACAGAAAAAATTAAATTTAAAATTATTTTCTTCTACTTTTTTACTTTCTAGGAATCATTCCAAGAATCTAATTTGATTGTATTAAAAAAAAGGTCAATGTGTATCTAGTTAAAACTTTAACATACTTGTTGTGATTGATCTCAAATTCATGAAAAATTCAAAAGTGTTACTGATTCTCACTAATCTTCTGAAAAGAAATTTACTATCTTAATATGGATTGTATCAAGTGGGATATCAAACAAATTCATAGACTTTAACTGATCAAATAAAATACGATTATAATTGAAAATTAATTTTTGAATAATAATAAATGATGAGATAGATTTTATCATTTACTGCTTAAGCTTTTACAAGTTGCTAACATTTGACTCCCCGTGAATTGCTATCAATAAATAATCATGATATATTTGATAGACCTCTACTTGACTTTCACGAATGTTCTCTTAATTCTATTTGGAGAGCATACCCACGTTCACCTCATGATGAAATGGCTACTTACGACGTCTATACGGGTATGTTCCAAACAAGTTTTGAGAGTTGTGTCATAGTTATTTACCCATGATGTCAAAATTTAGCAATCTAGCATTCAAGTCAGTAGCCAAATAAGAGATGTAATGCTTAACCATCATATACTGTAACACTTCTTCATCAATCCATGGGCATAATTTTTTACAACACGTGGTAATATAAATAGACGACGAAGCTTTTCCTCATACCACATTTGGGGTATGTTGCGAAACAAGGGGTCGTACATGTCACATTGGCATGATATCCCTTGAATTTTCTTTTGTCTTTTCACTTTCAGTTGTGGTCGGTTCAAGAATGTTTATGATAATTTTATAGAGCAAGTGATTTTGTATGCTTTTACGAATCATCTGATATACCCAATTTTCTCTTGAAAATTCATGCCAGAGAAGAGTACAGTACAAGAAGGTGTTATGATTTTATATTATTCTCAAATGTAGGATGTGGGACCCGTGCCTTGACTTGACAAGCAGTCGGCGGTAGCGGACTATTTGCTATGATTCGGTGGCCGGGAAGATACTCGAGAGATTCCGCGCCGAGAGCCCATGAGTCCAAGCAACAATCCGTTGACATCTAACTCGACTGCCATCAACGAATGGTTCCAGCACTCGGACGTCAAGAAATGAGGCTTCGCACCAAAACTCGAGAGGAAGATAGTAATCCATTCGATCGCAATCTGTTCGGTCGTAATCTTGATCACGGACCTCGTCGACAAAGCGCAAGACTGAATTACGACAAGAGTTACAACACGAACATTAATCACGAACGCAATCCAATCACGAACAGTCCAGCCCTAAAGAGCAGGGATGGGGCGTTGGGACCGCTCAATCAATTCTGGAGTCCAAAACGGAAGGGAGAACGATAAAAAACTGTCCCGTTCGGGTGATCGCTGTCCCAACGGGACAGCGACTGCTTAGGACTGCCGCGCATGAATGGCCGGTGTCCGAGTCCGCAATCCACGGGGCGGGCAGCAGCAAGCGGTGCGAACAACAAAGTGCCCGGAGCGTGAGTGGAGACGGAGGATCGTCCGTAGACGCCAGGATCGAGGAAAGGAGGCACTGCCCACAATAACATGCACAGAAATTATGAGCCGCACATGGCGAAAGGACACGTCGAAGCCTCGACCGTGAGAGCTTCGGATCGAGCGGCGCTCGGCTCCAAGTCGAGAAGAGCTGGGAAGAAGTTATGGCCCGAGGGCGAGGGCGATGGCGAGGAGGAAGAGGAAGAGGGAGGGGGAGACGAGCAGGAGGAAGAGGAGGAGGAGGAGGAGGAGGAGGAAAGCCTGCAAGAGCCCGATTCGCGTTGACCGGATGGTATGGAAAGGCGCGACGACGGGCCATCTTAGCCTTTACTGTTCAGGGTCAGACCAGTTCTGCTTTGGACCCGAGCTCCTTTGCGAGTCCGACCAACTACTTTCTCGCCTTTGCTTCATGTCATCGGGGCCATGAGCTCTCGACTTCGCTGCTTTGCCCCGCCCCGCTACCTCTGGAGCTCCCCGTGCCGCATTGTCGGCTCCATTATTGAATTAGAGTCTCCGTCTGCACCACAAAGCAAAATGTGATTACGGACCTCGCAGGACTCTCCCATCCTCGTCCTAATCGTCCATGGCTTTGTCTTGCTTCGCTCCCCGTGGGCCAGAATTGGGCTTTAATTACGGGATATAATCGGGAGCCCGGTCTGTGCTGTTGGAATATGGATTTCTTCGCTCGCTCCATCCCTTCAAGGTGATCAGAGACCGCCTGGTAAGCTATCTGGCGAGGAGTGGGTTAGCCGTGACTTTCAGCAGAATCGAATCGCGATAAAGGGATTCTGAGAGAAATCCTGGGGATGGCGAGCAGGGCCGGGGCTTCCTTAGCTTGCACTCTGGTTCTGGGGTGCGAGAGACTGCACGAGTTTCCATGCAAGATTCTTGCGGCTCGCGAGTCCCGGATGATCGGTCGCTGGCTAGAGCGAATCCCGGATCTTGTGCACGGGCTGGGGTCGAATTAGCGTGAGGGTCGGTTGGAACGCTTTTCTTTAATCCAGAAAATGGAGCAAAGAGCGAGAATTGGTGGATTGGTGTGGATAGTGCTCGTGGTGTGCTGTGTAATCGGTGATATTGTGAATGCCCACCGAATTGATCTTCACACTCACTTCGTTCCTCCATTTTACCGACAATATCTCGCAGAACGCCATGCCTTGGCAGGAGGGATTCCGACCCCGGACTGGAATGTCTCGTGGCATTTAGAGGTCATGGACCAGCTCGGGATTGAAACCAGCGTGGTGGCGATCACTACTCCAGGAGCGAGAATTCACCCTGACGACACCCTCGATGGCCGTGCCCTGGCCCGCAAGCTCAACGAGTACGCCCACTACGAGCTGGTTCAGAAATATCCCGGGCGATTCCAGTTCTGGGCCACCGTCACTCTTCCGGATGTCGAAGGCTCTATAGCGGAGTTCATTCACGCCTTCGACAACCTCGGAGCAATGGGCGTTTTTCTCGAGGCCAACAAGTTCGGAATCTATTTGGGAGACCCATCTCTCGATCCATTCTTCAAGGTGCTAGACGATTACAAGGCCGTGGTTCTTCTCCACCCGAATTCGTTGCCGGACGGTAAGTAAGCTCTCAGAGACGTGTGCGTTGCTGACAGATCCAAACTCATAAGAATTGAACCCTGATCTCCCATGCCAGCCACGAAGTAATTCATAGCTGCACATCGTAGCTTTGAGATCGAAGATATCAAATAGAGTGCACGCGAATTTCGGGGAATTCCGGTCTCAACTGACTGATGGTATTGTGACATCTGCAGACGCCGGCGTTCCAGGGATTCCCCCGGCTTTGGTGGATTTCACGCTGGACACGACGAGAGCGGCGCTGAACCTGGTGTTCAAAAATACCACCAGAAAGTTTCCCAACATTCGTTACGTGCTTGCGCATTCGGGAGGATTTCTCCCCTTCGTGGTTTACAGATTCGCCTTCGGGGCCGCGGACACAGACGCAGTTCTGGAGCAGTTCAAGGAATATTACTTCGACACTGCGCTCTCCAGCAGCCCAGCTTCTCTGCCTTCCACGATTGCCGTGGCAATGCCGGAGCGAATCACTTATGGCACCGACTTCCCTTATGCGAGCGAGATCTCCCTGCAGCGTTTCACCAACGCTCTGGACACATATGACATGCCGGAATGGCGGCGAATGAGGATAAACTGCACCAATGCCCTCGAGCTTTTCAACGGATTCAAGCGCGTTTAGGTTATAGAATTGAATTGCGAGGATCATGTTTTGAGTTGCTTCGAATCACATTCGAGGAAGGATTGGAGGGCGTCAGTGGCGGTGTGTTTTGTACGTGCTCTTTCGCGATGAATGCTTGAGCGCGTCTACGTTTTGACATTGATTTGATGTGGGCAACAAATTTTGAAAGCTGGAGGTACTGCCTCCGGATGGTTCACCACGGATTTCGTCCTGAGTGTCCTGACGACATTTCAGCTCCACGCTGCTGTTCTGGTGTTGTAGGACTAGGACGAAATTCTCTAGTTGTTAGTAAACACGATCACTATTATTGAGAGGAGACATTGTGCGAGGATGGAAGATCGGCATGCACAATACTGAAGAGAAATTAGAATCGGTTAAGAGTAGACAACATTGACTGTACAAACTTCATTCTGCGATGAGAAATTCGCTAATTTTCTCACAGAATCGCATAAAAGATGTTCGAATTTTTCCAGACACTTGCCTCTCACTCGACTTCGGTGTACATCTTCGATCGATGCTGCTGTCCTCCTCAAATTCGTGAGAGATATTCCAGTTTCAGTACCCTTCTCCAAGATTCTGGATGTGTGTGTGGATTGTGGATTGTGGGCATGGCATATACGAGTGAACGGAGATTTTAGTTCAACGATCCGGGACAGCTGCCTGAGCTAGATGCATAAGAATAACATCATTTTTTTTTCATCGATTCCAGCACCCTTGCAGCGCCAATGCATAAAAGCGATCCATTTCGTTCCACTTTGAGCTGTCAGGCCATTTCCTAGACAGCGAGAAGGAGAGAAAGGGACAGTACGGTCAGTCATGCGTTTGAGTTTGGTCAAAGCCAACCGTTCCTGTACAACAAGGCTTCGTACTGAAAGCTTCGCACTTTTGTCAGCTCGCTTGTGACACGGTCTGGGAAACGGAATCAGATGTCATAGGCCTCTGAAGATGAAACAACTCGAGGGAATCGAGTGCTTTTACTCAGACAACCGATTTCGTTCCACGACAGACGAGGTCAATGAACCATGCTCAATGAAGGACTAGCGAAGACTTTTGCGAACCGTGAGGATCAGAATCGGAAGTGTGCTATCCTAATGCATGGTTCGGTTAAACCGCCACTCGTCCTCAAGAGCTCACCTTCTACTGGTTCACGCCACCGTCTCCAGCCGCGACTCATGGATGGTGCAAATCGTTCAACCCGCAAATCTGATCTCGAGTGTGTGGTAGGGTCAGCGAGGGCGCGGATTGCAGCAATGGTTGACTTGAAGCGAGGGTAGAGATATGGGAATAATTGGACCAAAACTTGCTGCCGTCAGGCGGTAGCCTGACCTCATTCGTTACGCTCGTCATCGGCTGAGGTTTCCACTGCAGGAGGATTTTTTACACCTCCCAGTTCCGTACCGAGCAAGTTCGCCACATTCTCGTGCTGTCAGTTCTGAAGACCCTTGAGCATGCACCGATAATCTGCAAGACCTCACATCCGAGCACATGTGGGTCCCGAACTCCATTACTTCCACCTGCCCCTCTCATTCTTTTCATACCAACGAGCTCTTCGGTGCAGGTGCTCCATCAACAGCACTAACTTCCTCGTGTCCGGGCAATGCTCACGTGAATTCCTTCCTCCTTTCTGAATTTAATGCTGCCAGATATACACTCGTCGTTGGGGCAACTCGGGTCTTGGTCTCCTTGCTTGCTAGCCATGCCAAAATCAATAAATGAATGATATGGGTACAAAGAGTTTCGTCCTTGACTTGAGAGGTGGAGTGGAAGGATGCCGTCACTGTATCGTGGGAGACTCTTTGCACAGTGCTGTTGACTGTCGGGGAGCTGAGGGTGCTGACTGAGTCCGCTAAATACACTCCACCGCGGTTACAAGGCCTTGGGTTAACGAGACCCGAATAAACTTATAACCTTGTAGGTGCAAATGTTCATGAAAGCCTATCTGCGGACTCTTTAACCTTTATCGCCCACTATGTACATACGATGTTCCTTGGATGTAGTTTTTGGCTCTTGAGGTTGACCTTGTCTGTTCAAGATAACCAAGAGATAAAATTTTAATACAGAAGAAGCTAGAGAATTTCAGTTTCTTGAGTCTTCACAAGACTTGGGCACTATCCCTAGGAGCCATAAATATTTCTCTACCCAAGTCAAGGGGAATCAAACTATGATCGAGAAGGCATGAGAGAAGTATAGACAACTTGACCGGTATTCATTAACCCTTTGGAGGGCACCAATAATTGATATAATTATATGTATATTTACCTATGAATTTTATTATTCCCACTTTAAATAGCTTATGTCACCGCATGAGCTCGAATCAGACTTGGATACACCGCTATTATCTTTATCGGACCGTGCTATAAATTTTTATCTTTGCTAGAATACATTTTTATAGAGGAAAAATATAAATCAGGTTCTGGAGTCTTCACAAGACGTCTGTACTTTTATAGAGAGTTGGCAAGTACAAGGCAAAGTCAACAAGGATGAGTTGAACTATATTGAAAGTGCACAAATTTAACTTTTCTTATAATTCTCGCCGAACACAGTCTCTCCAAATTGGATCTCTCAAGTGGAGGTGCATCTACACCACTACTTGTCAAGCCGCGCATTTTCACCGGCAGTCTCGAGTACCCAGAAATGTACAGGCAAAGCTTGAGGAAACCAATTTCGACAAAAAGTGTTGTTGAAAATGGTGAGAAGAATTCAGGTCCGATTATAGATCTTATGGTCACTTAAGAGCTCGAATCACTTTCACTTCAATTGAGATGGGACGAACTATCAGAAGATAGATATTATCTACCATCCAGGAACAAATCAGACCGACATTCATTTAGAATTTTTAACACTTCTAAGGACATTTTTTCGAATATATGGATTAATCTGCATTAACATTGTCAAGGTTTTGATACTCACTTTAGTGGTATTATTCGATCAATCGTATCTTGAATTCAAGAGAATAATATTCATTGAAGCACGCAAGTGTTGTAAGGACTCGTAAAACTAATTTGAATGATTTTACTCTAAAAATTGCTTCCAGTAAAGCGAAAAAGGAAAGATTCGGGGAAAATCGAATACATAAAAATGACCAGATTGTATTTTAAGAAAACAGCTGTAAAACTTATACTAAATTTTTTGCTATCACCATATCGAAAATTTGCATGGTCATAAATAGCTCAAAAATCTGGAAAATAGGGGAATCCAATTTGATAACTTCTAAAATATGGTCAAATGATGTAATTAGTTTCATGCAAAATAGTAAATACTAAGTTTATTTCACCCACACTATAGTTAATTTTTCTGCCAACCAAAGCTCGCATGCAAAATAGTAATTTGAATTCTAAGCTCCTATGTTTACTGCAAAGAAATTTATTTACATGGATATTTCCTTGCAGCAAAGCTTTAATTACCAATTTTACTCTTGGACTAAGTTCACCCATCAAGAATATACAGTTCTTTCATCTTGAAAGATTCAAACTTATAAACATCAAAAAAAAATTCTTAATCATCCACAATCCATCCATGCATGATTTAGTCTTTATGGAACCAAATAAACTTCTTACTTCAAGATACCTTATTAAGAATATTAAGACGTTTTGCATCATCCTTTTGCACTTATATCACCGATGAAATCTAAAAAATGTATAATCTATAAAAACAATAAAATTTTGCGAGAAATAAGTTTGATTGCAATTCTTTAACATGCGGTTTAAGTGTTTAGCTCACATATTATTCCAGCAATCTAAAATATAAAATAAAGCCACTTCTGAAACTCTCGAAGTTTTATGCAAACCTCACAACTTTGATAATTGCTTTTCATAAGACAAGAGTTTTGCAATCGTTTCTAACTTCCTCTACGAATGGGAAGGTTTTGTCTCATGTTCAATGCTATTTCTTGTTTTAGTTAAACATGACATTTGGGCTTGCATACTGCTACAGAATCAAACCTCCCAATAGTGATGTCAGTTCAAAATATGGAAGACAATGATAGCTTGATGGACGTGATTCATCTTTCAGAGGACTACGTCCACTGAAAAATCAAGCAAGAGAGTTTATTACTGTAGTGAAAACCAATTGTGATACAATGCAGAAGACTTGAGGTATGTATACTTAACACCAACTATCAACCTAGCTAAAAATAGCTAGAACTTGAGTTTATTCCTTAACCGCAATAATCTGATTTTTAATTTGTAACTTAATTATTAATCAGCGGGATGTTATAGAAGGAAACCTAACACAAGGTCTGTTTTTACACAAGGGTTGAATAGATCTAACAATGATCGATTTTATATTCTAAAAAGTACTTGAGATTTATTTGTCCATCTTAAAAAAATAAAACCTTATTTTTGTTTATTTCAAATGAATAGATTTAAAATGTTCAAGTTCATTTCAAAAATTGTAAAACAAGGTTCTTGAATTCTTAATTTAAAGAAATTAATTTGAAATCTGGAATTTTTTTTTAAATGGTGAAATATAAATGTTTTGAAATATAGATTTTTTTATTTAATTAAAAAATATAATTAAATATTTACAATTAATTTAAATAAATATAATTACATTAAAAATATTTTCAATGATTTTTAAAATTTGAATTCAAAATTCAAAATTTTTAAATTCACAGTCTTTCAACAAATCTATAAATGTTTCAAAGAAAGTAACTAAAAAAATTTAAAACCATAGTGTTAGGAATTTAATTTTTTACAAATATAATTGAAATTTTTGTATTTAGATTTAAAGACGTTATTTTCATATTCATTATTTCAATGAAATGGATATTTCAATGGAAAACTATAATTTTTGTAATTCAATTGATTTAAAAGATTAAATTTATTTTTATTATTTATTCTAACACAAAAGATTTTCATTGATTTTTATTGTCGTGCAACAGCATGAAATAACTTATTCAAGTTTAGTTTTTAGAGCAACACGTAAATAGATCAGCAATCCTAACGTCCTTAAGAGCATTTCCAAGTTTGTGATCTGACGGACGAATCTCTACAATCACCGACGTATATATCAAAACCAAGAATTGATAAAAATTTTGAGAACTCTATGTGTCTCTTCGTTGTTGAGTCAAATAAACAAATACTCTTCAACCTCGTATCAAAGATGAAATTGACACAAGCAATTTGATCATTGCTTTTGTTTCATAATTAGAGTGAGATTTGTATACATTGTATGAAAATATTATAATCAGATTTATTTCTAAATTATTTAAAAATATGCTTATAAAATTTTATTTATATTAGATTAAAAAAATTATAATTTTTATTCAATTATAGCTTCATAATTCAAAAACAAAGCAATTTTTTCATCTAGATTAATGATATTCTAGATTAAAATCTTTAAATAAAATTGTATTTTCTAATTATTCACTATATATTTTTTATATTGAACAAAATTATATGATCATCTATAAATGACTAAAAATTTTAGCATGGTAAGTTTTTATCAATCATCATCTATCCAGCTAAGCCATTTTCAACGTGAAT